CCTCTATGAAAAGGCTGTATAAAACATCTTTATCACCAATAGATTTGCTTGTTAAAAATGCAGATTCCTGGACCAGATCCCAAATCTAATGAGTCAAAATTTATGGGAATGGGGCCTGAAGAAAATCTTTATTTTACAAAGCATGCCAGTTGAGTATGAGACACTCAAAAGTTTGAGAAGATGAGCATTGTGAATGTGTGTGGGTGCTGTTTTGCTGTGACTACAAATCCATGTAGTATATCTTCTCCTGGACAGAAACTTCTTATGATGCAAGACTCTTGTCCATTATAGGGTCAGGGTTTCCACTGACAAAAACGCTTTGTATGAAACCCAGCCAAACTTAGGACACAGAGAACATGCCACGTGGGGGACATGTCCTGCCAGGAGGCCTCCGTCACCAGCCCAAATGCCTGGCAGTTGTCAGAACTTGCAAGGGGAATTTTGTTTACTTTGTGAAATGCCCAGTAGGTTCCAAGGGTCATTTAGGAATACTGTCACACTGCTGTTAGGCAGATACAGTCTTGAGTTTAAATGCATCCATTAAAGGGAACACTGTGATCTCAGTATTCATTGTATTTCTATGGTCAATCAACAGGATTCTTTACATTCTGAAATACTAGTAGAAAAAAATGTCTTACATTATTTAATACTATTTTTATGTTCTCCAAATATCTTTTATCTGAGATCAGCTATATGATTAATTACTAAGTATGATATTATATTATATTGTTTGCTATGTCTGAGAGCCTGGACATGAAGGCTTCCAGTGAAATAAACATTTCAGATAATACAAAAACTTTAATGAAATAAAAAATTATTTCTCAGGATTGTTTAATAAAGATCAAGGATTTGCTAATCAACAATAAAAGAAAAAATCCCCTAAGTTTAGGAATAGTTTGAACTAATACTTAAAATTTTCAATGCCTTCATTATTCACATAGAGCCACCTTCATTTTTTATGATTACTCCCTCAACTCCAAGAGAGAGGATGTGACTGTTTAGTGGACAGTGTCAGAGCGTCAGAAGAGCGGAGTGCGAGTCTGAGAAAACAGTAAGCAGACACTTCCAGAAGGCGGCAGGCAGGCCAGAAACGTGACGGAAGTCAGAAAACGGGACAGGCAGCAGAAAGCAGAAGTGGCAGATACAAATGGTGACAGAAAAGGCAGCGAGAAGCAAAAGTAAATGTGGCAAGAAGGAACATGAGAATGCGGAAGAGGGGTAAAACCTGCTTGCATAATAGGTGTAATGTTCAGTCAGGTACTTAATAAAAAGGAAATACAAGTATATATGCATCTAGGACAAAGAGAAATTAACGTTAGTAATTCTGCAATCTTATAATTTTTTACAAGATGCTTCAATTAATTCTCGCGTTCATCAGTACCTGTGAAGACGGGAAGAAGTCAGAGTAGTATCTGTAAACCAACATTCCTGTCCCAACAGGACGGCAAATGGAACCGTCCTGATCTCTCTGCTGGGTGCTGAGGAAAGCTGCCATAAAACGAACAGGTGTTTGAGTCTGACGGGCTCAGTGACTCAGTGTCACAGAGGCCGTGCTGTTTACCGGTAGCTAAAGCAATCACTTCCTAAACCTCACTGCGTGACGCCTGACACAGCAGTCCCTTCTCATGCTCCTTCCCTGGGCTGGGATGAACGCTTTCATCTAAGGGTCAGAGCCCTTCTGAGCCACGGATGCCATGGGATGCCTGAGGCCAGAGGAAGAGATCCAAGAGAAGGAAGACAGGGCTAAGAAAGACTATTTTTATGGGAAGGAAAGGGACAGAGAAACTACAGAAGTGGGAAGAAAGGGGGAGGGGGGCTGAGAAGGAAAGCGGTTCTTTGTGTGGTGAGTAGCATAAAGTCTAACCAACTCTAGATGTTATACACTGCCCACTCGGACAACCGTTCACAGTCAGGTCTCACCACTGCACCTTCCAGCATCTTTCCTCCTCCACCTTAACTGGGTCACCCGCTTCTACAGTCACAGCTGGAGCACGGAGCACCTGGCCTCCCTGCAGGTGATTAATGAGGATCTCCCGTTCTCTGGTAAGGACACCTACCTACAGCGTGTTAGCTCAACAGCCCCATCTACACCTGTCATTTGATTCCAGTGAGAGCTCCTCTTTCTCTCCACACACCAACACTCTCCCTGTCTTTTCAAGAAACTGATATTACAGATTATCCCTTCTCTCTCTATCTTCAGTCTGTCTTTCTTTCCTGGAGATTAAACATACTCAAGAATCTTTCCTTTTAAACAAAATAAAACCAAAAAAACAACACAAAGACCTTCTGTACTTCACATCTCCTTCTGTTACATGTCTCACTTTTCCACTTCACAGCTAAATTCATGAAATAGTTGGGCATTGTTTCTCTCTACTTCCTCACTTCCTGTTCACTCCCCATTCCCTTCCAACCTGCTTTCTGCCTGTACATTTCCACTGAAAGAGCTCCTCCTGAAGTCATCAGTGACCTTCATTAGCCAAATCAGGCCATACTGTAGTGGGGGCCCCTTCAGCATCACTGGATACAGCGGACTATTGCCCCTCACTGAAGCAGAGTTTCTCAGGGCCTCTGAGGACAGCACACCCTCCTGGACTGCCTGTGTCTCTAGTTGCTCCTGGTCTCCTTTTTTAGCTCCTCTCCCTTTATTCCACCTTTGAAAAGCTATGGAGTTCAGCAGGCCCTGACCTGAAGCTAACTTCTACGTTTCTTTCCTTAGGTCACCTCGTTCACTCTCACGGCTTCAAAGACCACTTATGCCACTGACTCTGCATTTTCTGTGTCCAGTTCCACATACTAACACTTCGCTGGACAGTTCTACTTGGACGTCTTAGGCACTTCCAATACAGTGTGTCTAAACTAACTCTTCCTCCAAATGCCACATATCAGTAATTGCACCATTATCCACCTGGTTTTTCACAGCAGAAACCAGGGGTTCACCTATGAAATCTCCTTCTTCCTCAACCCCTCCAACATTCCATCTTACTAATCAACTTGACTCCAAATACCTCTTGAACGTATCCACTTCTTCACATCTCCACTGCCACCAACCTAATCAAAGCCACCACTGCTACTGTCGTAGCCTTCTAAACTGGACTGTCAAAGTTTTTCTACTCTATTCTTTTCTATTCCTGCTAATGTAATTTCCACACTGTAGCAAGAGGGCTCTTTTAAAAATCCAGATCTGATGACTTCTCTGCTTATAACACATAATGGCTTTCTGTTTATATGAAACAATAATTCTCACATCTTCAGGTGGCCCTTCAACACGTGGCCCCTCTTTGGTTTCCAAGCTCATTTCACTCTATTCTCCTCTGTGCTTTCTACACTGCAGCCACTCTGTTCCATTTGAGTTCCTTCTTGTCTCAGACCTTTTCACACACTGGATTTTCGTTTGTCTTTTTCTGTCTGGCAGCCTCCTCCCCATAACATCACCTCTACCCTCTCCCAGGTTGGCTCATCCATTCATCCTTTAGACACCTGCTAAAGTCATTCCCTCAGAGAAGCCAGGTTTGACTTTCTTTTGTAATGCTTATCACAATTATACTACATTAATTGTTTAATGTCTGTGCTTTCTGCCTCAACTCAAACTCTTTCCCCCCACTGCCAACCTGTAAAATCCACGAGGGCAGCAATCATGTCTGTTTTATTCATGAATGTATGTTGCATCTGTGAGGCTTGCACACTGCCTGGCACATAGTATGTGTCCAACAAACACGTATGGAAAGAATGAATGAATGAATGAAAGTTGATTTCAACTTTGGGATTCTGTTTGTCTCAACACACCAGAGAGCAATGTGACTGACATTTTCAGATTTTACTCAAATAACAGTGAGAATAAACAGCAATTAGATATTCTTTAATTCAATTACAGTTTTCTTGGGAGGGGGCATCCTAACAACTGCCTAACTCCTGGCAGTTTCAACTTGTAATTAATTCTACTCATCAAATACAATCCTTAAAAATAAGTGAGAAGAGGGCCTGGCCCTGTGGCCCAGTGATTGAGTTTGGCGTGCTCTGCTTTGGCGGCTGGGTTCGTGGGTTCAGATCCTGGGCATGGACCTACCCCACTTGTCAGCCATGCTGTGGTGGTGACCCACTTACAAAATAGAGGAAGACTGGCACAGATGTTAGCTCAGGGCTAATCTTCCTCACCAAAAAAAAAAAAAAAAAAAAAAAGGGAGAAGAGAGCATCAAGGACACAGAAAAAGAAATTAATGAAAAAGAGTCTACTACCTCTTGCTTGAGAGCCAGCTGCACCACTCTCTCCACGGCTCCTTACACTCCCTACACTCCCTACTACATTCACATATTGATTTGTCCTTCGTCTAAGTTTGCTTAGGGAAAAAAAAAAGCATGTTTAAGGAAAACAAAGAACAAAAAAAGTCTAGTAAAGGCTTTTCATTAAATAAACGCCCCTTAGACAGAAAGTCCAATTACAGATCCTGTTTGGATTTCAAATTATAGTCATTTTCTTAAAATTCTGAATGAAGCATGGGTAAAAACTAGGAAAGTACAGCCAAGTTTTGGCTGTACCCTGAAATGTCAACCCGTGTCATTTAAAAGCACACCACACCCTTCTTGCGCCAGTCTGCACTAACTTCATGACCAATTCGGTCGTGCACACTTTTTCTCCTCATATCCAGGGCTGAATGAAAGAGCGAGGGGAAAGCTTTCTTTAAACACATCTCTAACTTACCTAGACCTCTATCTATTTGTAGTGGACAGAAATAATAGGAACTGGAATTCTAAGACGGCGCTTTTGTGCCACAGTGGGCATGCCCAGTACTAACTATGTCTGACAAAGCGTTCTTGTGCTCCTCTCACAAGGAAAGGGCAGACGGTAAAGCTGAGGGCTTCAGGCCTATATCTGCAGACAGACCACAGAGGTTTCCACACATTCACCGCGCCAGCCTGTTCTGACTCCGATACTTTCACTGCCAGATACCGATTCCTGCTGTACTGCCCTCACTATGCTTCTACGTGTTCTTGACCTACTTTACCTTCACAGGGATGTCCTCCTCCTGGCTGGCTTTCTCTGAGGTGAAGACATACGAGATTTCTTTGTGAGATGTGTTCTGGCGGCAGATGGCACACTTAATGGAGCTTCTGTGAGACCCCACGCTGTACTGCTCAATAATAATTGAAACGCATTCATTACAGAAACAGTGCCCACAGGTCAGTACTGCCCACTAAAAAAGGAAACACAAAGAACACGCCTCAGTGAGACGCGATCAAAGATGCCCTCCAATCTGTAAACATGTTAAAAGGAGAAGGGAGTCATAATTTCACTTCCTAAATATTTCATGATATTAACATTCTTTAAGTCATAAAAGCTAAGTTGTACTTTCAAACTAATTATTTTTTAGTCCAACCAAGGTAAGCTTTCACAGTCTTTAGTTCTGCTCACTGTAATAGTCAGTACGTCATCATTATTTTGTAAGAAGCTGGTGTTCTCACTTCAGTATTTAGGAAAAATGCAAATTACTCCCTAGCACTTTAACAGCAGATATGAGAGACTGAGAATCACATTAATTTGGAGATAATATCATATTCAATATATTCTATACAGCTTATTAAAGAGATTTACATTTTCACACATTAAAGCATTTATGATATACAAAATGAGATGGGCTAGTATCTCAGATTTATTTTAAAAGTGGTTCCGAATACATTAAAAACAAACCAAAATAAACCGATAAAAAGATATTTCGAAAACCTCCTTGTCCTATTTCAAGAAAAGTACAGCAGTCCTCTCTGCATCTCTGGAGCACACCGTGGAGACTTCTCTCCTCTTGGGCAACAGGTGGGTGGAGACGAGTATTAGATTTAGTCTACGTGTCACTTCTAAAAGCCATGGCATCTTATGCTAATAATTTAACCTTTTTCACCTGGTAAACAACAACAACAACAGGAACTGAGTGGTGCTGTGAGTGACCAGGCTCCTACGCCCTAAGCTGTGTTTTTCCAGGCGTTGGACATGCATCGACTTGTATGGAGGAAGGTGTGTGGCGGGGCCTACCCGAGGTACTTTGCAGGACAGACTAAGAATAGCCCCTTGGAAAAGAACTCACTGAGGGAAGAGAAAAATGTGCTATATAAGCTTGGTTTTAAAACAATTATTGGGAAGGGGGAGGGTTATTTGGGGTTTATTGGCTGATGTCGTCCACACTGTTTTCTAGTTGCGCCTCTGCTCTCAAGGATTTGTGCCAGAGTCCTCAGGAATAGAGGCTGCAAGAAAATGAACTCGAGCATTTTTGTAGCAGCACTAATCCGCACCCTGTGTACCTCTGGCGCTACGGGGGAGGAAGGGCACTTTCTCCACTTGAGAGGACTTGTGCAGCTCATGAACGCTCAGAACGGACAAGCGGAACAGCAGGACAGGTCCATCCACACCCGCGATGGAGGAGAAACGAAAGAGTTGTCGGGCACCAGAGCATTAGAGCGGCAGGGGGGTGACTGCAATGGCCTAAACAGCAGAATAGAGAGATGGCAACGCCTCCAGGGGCATTAGCCGGGATATATGAGTTATCTCTGATAGAGTCTCTAAATAAGGAGCCGAGGAGGAGAACTGGGAAGCTAAAGGGAAAGGATCTAGAGTTCTTACAGACTGTAGATATGAAGAGTTAGAAAAGTAAAATTTTGTTACTCTTATTGTAATCCAATATGTTCCCCTAAGTGTAAGAGACTCGGGTTATGCTAGAATTAAATGAAATAACGTATATGAAAGAAAGTTAAAAACTTAAAACGTTTAAGACAAAAATCAAATAAAATTTCTGAGACAATCCAGCTGCACGCATCTCATCAAAACAAAAACCAAATTAGAAACTACCTACGTCATGATCCTTTCCTTTTTTATCACAACTTTTATCACAACCTTTTTATCACTGACTTTTATCAGAAATCACCAGTATCTGTACATTACTATTCTTCTGTTCAGCTACCAAGGTAATATCTATCATTTTAAGATTTATTATCAATAAAGTGTCCTTTAAAAATCTGACCTTTTTCATAAATCGTGGAAACTAAAAGGTACTTTCTGATTATTGCTGGTCAGAACATGGAATTCATATATTCAACTTTCTACACTCGGTTCCATACAAAACAACAGCCAAGAACACTTTTACTCATTTAATAGTAATAGGCTTATCTTTCAAATTTTGAAAAGCGATGAATATTCTGATATTGTATATATTTATTTATCATACAACGTAGGAATTTATAGTTTCATAATCAGTTAGTAGGATAAAAATAAGAATCTCTTTGAGGAGAATACCATCAAGCTTATAGACATCTGTATACTAATATTCACAAAGAAATATACTTATGGTCTTCTAAAAATCACATCTAAATTCCCCTAGAATTGCTGTTATTTGTACTCTAAAGCCTGGTATTATTAGATATTAAAAATGTTAACAACTATATTACTATACCTTTGTAATACCTTCTTAAGTAAATCCCTGAGTGCTACATTTCTTTACAATTACCAAAAAGCACATTAAACCAACAAAGTCAAATTACTTAGACCCAATCTTGGGACTGCAAACAATATTCAAAACTATGCATCTTTAATGAAAAAGATGGGGTTATTCTAGAAATATGTTTTCACTTATCACTTAAGGAAAAACCTTGCTCACACATATGTGGCACTAAGCATGTCAGCTAACCTTCGGCCCTGTCTTTAAGAGGCAGAAAATATTTGTCTTGCATACAAAGTTGTTGAGAAAGAGAGAGAGAGAGACACAAGGAAACACTGATTGATTGTACGTAGGAGTCTTTGAAAACTGTCAAGTGTTTTATAAACGCATGTGACATTTATTATAACTTCACCTGTTTTCCCAGCTGCCGAGCACAGATTGGACAAGGTTCTGGATTAATACCTCCTGACGTTTTGTCTTGAGACTGCCCAAAAAAGAAGAATTCAAAAATACATTAGTTACATTTTACAACCTGATGCATGTTTTATATAGCTCATTTACAGAAGTAAATGCTGGCAACTGCAATTTAAATAACCTAATAATTGAGATGATCTAACATTTTATGTATTACCTAATACTATCATTCCTGGGATTTATAAATAACATTCAAGAAGTGAATAAAAAGATGGAAACAATTTTTATTACAGCTTGTTAAAGTTATCCTATTACTGTATTTGTGATTATCATAGAAGGCAAAATGAAAAGCAAAATATGATTTACCTTAGCTAAATTTTATTTTCAAGCTAGATTTTGTTATAAAGAAATATGTATTCTGCGTGTCCACTTGGCATGGATCACAGACATAGAAGACGCAGCATTTATCTACCTAACTCCTTATTAATACTGTTCCTTCTCAGTTTCCTTTTTCTAATCTCATTAAAGCAAAGCAAATAACTAGAAAGCAGAAATATTATTGATTTGAGACCCATCTATGCCTGGAAATTACACTGAAGTATAACAGTTTCTCAAAATCTCTTTAAAACTATTTCAAAAATTGAAAGAGCTTTAAAAAAGTCATCAAATAGTTTTTAAAACTCAGGAGAACATAAAGAAAAGTAAATTAGACTTGTAGATCACTACTAAAGTTTTTAAGTCTGTGGTTTCACTAACCAAATAGTTAAACATTTAAAAAAACTGTTCTTGATTATCCTTTGACTTTCATAAGTAGCAAAAAAAAAAAAAAAAAAAAGGCTACATTGTGCATGGATTCAGCAACTCTAACAAGAGTTCAAAAACAATTCCATTAACTAAAATGTAAGTATGCAGGCATTTTAAAAAGTTGAACTTAATTATTCTTTTCTTTTGTTAATTATTGATTTGTTTTAGATAACATATAACCTAAAACTTAGCGGCTAAAACAAACCCTTATTTCTCCTCGTTCTACAGGTCAGCTGGGTCATCTCAGGATGGGCTGACCTGGCTGGGGCTGATGTTCAGGATGGCCTCACACTCACGTCTAGCCGTTGGTAGGCCAGATGGTCTGGGGAGAGGGCCGCACTGAGGCCCCTGCTCCTCAAGAAAAGTAATCTGGCCTTCTTCACATGGTCCCCGAGTTCCAAAGAACAACAAGATTGGGAGAACTCCTCTGCGCACGGACTTTTCAAGTCTCTGCTTGTATCCCAAGGCCAAGAGTAAGTCACACCACCAAGCCCAGAGACGGTGTGGGAGGGGGTCATCCATGAGCATGCACACAAGAGGGGTACTACTATAGCATTCTGTAAACAATCTACCACAATTTACAATATCTCTTCTAATTTATTGAAAGCAAGCATTAGCATTTTTTCTGTAAAGGGCCTGACTGTAAATATTTTAGGCTTTGTGGGCCATATGTTTTCTGTTGCATCTACTCAACTCTGCTATAGTAGCTTGAAAGCAGCCATAGATAATACGTCAACAAACGAATGTGGCTGTTTTCCAATAAACTTTATTTATAAAAACAGGTGGTGGGCTGGATTAGTCCTGTGCTTAGCAGTTTGCAGATCCCTGATTTAAAGTTATAAATTTCTCTCTAAGCGTGCCTTAGCTGCACATTGTCACTTTCGTTTTTTCAGTTCAGAAAATATTCTAGTTTCTATTGTAACTTCTTTGATTCATGGGTTATTTAGAAGTGTGTTGTTAATTTGAGGATTTATGTGGTTATCTTTTCATTATTGATTTCTAATTTAATTCCTCTTTAGTCAGAGAAAATACTTTTTTTTAATTGAGGTATAATTGACATACAACATTAGTTTCAGGTGTACAACATAATGATTTGACATTTGTGTAATTGTGAAATGATCACCACAATAAGTCTAGTTAACATCCATCACCATACACAGACACAGAATTTTCTTTTTCTTGTGATAACTTCTAAAACTTGCTCTCTTAGCAACTTTCGAATATGCAATACAGTATTACTAACTATAGTCGCCATGCTGTACATTACATTCCCATGACTTAACTTTATAAGTTTGTAGCTTTTGTCTCTCTTCACCCATTTCACCCACCCCCTTTGGCAACCAGCAATAAGTTGTCTGTATCTATGAGCCTGGTTTGTTTTTTTTTTTTTTTTAGATTCCACATATAGGCAAGATCATACAGAATTTGTCTTTCTCTGTCTGACTTATTTCACTTAGCATAACGCCCTCAAGGTCAATCTAGGTTGTGGCAACTGACAAGATTTCATTTTTTTTAATGGCTGAATAATATTCCCTTGTGTGTGTATATGTATATATGTATACACACACACACACTACATCTTTTTCAACCATTCATCTATTGATGGATGCTTAAGTTGTTTCCATATCTTAGCTATCGTAAATAATGTTGCGACGAACATAGGGGTATATAAATCTTTTCCAGTTGGTGTTTTGTTTTCTTCGAATAAATACCCAGAATTGGAATTGCTGGATCATATGGTAGCTTTATTTTTAATTTTTTGAGGAACCTCCATACTGTTTTCCATAGTGAATGCACCAATTTACATTCCCACCAACTGTGCACAAGGGTTCCTGTTTCTCCACATCCTCACCAACACGTGCTCTCTCGTCTTTTTGATAACAGCCATTCTAATAGGTGTGAGGTGATAGCTCATTGTGGTTTTGATCTGCACTTCCCTGATGATTAGTGATGTTGAACATCTTTTCACGTACCTGTTGGCCATCTGTATGTCTTCTTTGGAAAAATGTCTACTCAGATCCTCTTCCCATTTTTTAATTGGATTGTTTTTTTGCTATTGAGTTGTATGAATCCTTCATATATTTTGGATATTAACTTCTTATCAGATACATGATTTACAAGTATTTTCTCCCATTTAGTAGGTTGCCTTTTCATTTTGTTGATGGTTTCCTTTGCTGAGCCGAAGCTTTTTAGTTTCATGTAGTCCTATTTATTTTTGCTTTTGTTGCCTCTCTCTGCTTTTGGTGTCAAATCAAAAAAACTGCCAAGACCAAAATCAAGGAACTTACTGCCTATGTTTACTTCTAGGAGTTTTATGGTTTCAGGTCTTATGTTTAAGTGTTAATCCATTTTGAGTTTATTTTTGTGTATGGCGTAAGATAGGAGTCCAGTTTCATTCTTTTATATGTTGCTGTCCAATTTTCCCAACACCATTTATTGAAGAGACTATCCTTTGTCAAAAACTAATTGACCATATATGTGTGGGTTTATTTTTGGGCTCTTTATTCTATCCCACCGATCTATGTGTCTGTTTTTATGACAATACTATACTGTTTTGATTACTACAGTTCTGTAATATATTCTGAAATCAGGGAGCATGCTGCCTAGCTTTGTTCTTCTGTCTCAGGATCGCTCTGGCTATTTGAGGTCTTTTGTAGTTCTGTACAAATTTTAGGATTGTTTGTTCTATTTCTGTGAAAAATGAGAAAACTACTCTTGTATAATTTAATCCTTTGGAAATTTTAAGAGTTGCTTTTTGAATCAGCATCAGGTCTATTTTGATAAATGTTCCACGCACACCTCAAAAAGTGTATTCTGCAATTGTGTTCGGCTGCGGTCTGTGTCAGTTAGGTCATGGTTGTTCATAATATTCAAATGCTCGATATCCTTACTGATTTTTTTTGTCCATTTGTCTGAAGTATGGAAGAATCTTATAATAGTTTACCTCTGTTTACCTTGTTTCTTTATGTTACTGTCATACATTTTAGCTCTCTATATATTGTATATCCTATACAACAGCACTGTTGTTTTATAAAGTCCATATTCTTTTGTATTTACCTATATAGTTAAGCTTTCTCTTGCTCTATATTCCTTCCTGTGGTTTCATCCTTCAAGGTGGGATAATTTTTCTTTAGTCCAAAGGACTGCCTTTAATATTTGTTGTACTGCGAGTCTACTGGGAATGAATTCTTCTAGTTTTTGTTTATCTGAAAACATCTTTATTTCACTTTTTAAAATAGCATTTTAAAGATGTCATGCCACTGTTACCTGGTTACATGGAGTAGCACCCAGTAACAGTGGCACACCATCTTGAACATGCTGAAGGAGAACACAGTTTCTCTGTGTGGCCACATAAAGAATGCATGCAGGCACCGGCTTTATGGTGCTCCTTGAAAGTGTTATGTCTTTTTCCTCACAATTCTAGTTGGTTAAATTTTTTTCCCATTATTTTTGGTTTCCAGCAGTTTGATTATGATATTCCTAGGTTTGTTTGTTTACTTTTTAAATTTATTCTCCTTGGGGTTCTCTGAGCTTCTTGAATCTGTAAGAAACTGTCATATTATCCGTCATCAGTTTTGGAAACTTCTCAGCCATTCAAGCGGCCTCCTGTCCCATTTTACCTCTCCTTTTCTTCTGGAACTTCAATCACATGCATGCTAGACCATACGACTGGGTCCCACCTTTCTTTCACTCTATTTCATTCTTTATTTTTCTTTATATGCTTCTCCAAATTGGGTATTTTCTGTTGAAATGTATTTGAGTTCACTAATTCTGTCTTTTTCTGTGTCTGGCATCCAAGGAGTTTTTAGTTTCAAACACTGGATTTTGCAGTTTCACAATGTCCACTCCCCTGTGCAGATTCCAGTTCACTTTATCTATGTTGTCCAGTTTCTTCTCCAATGCATTAATCACAATCACTTTCAAGTCCTTTCCTACTATGTCTATAATCTGGATTGTCTGTAGGTCTGCTTATAGTGTCCATTTTTTCCTCTTTAATTATTGGTCACATTTTCCTGCCTTTCACATTTCTTGCAAATTTTTTTTATCATATGCTAGATTTCCTAGTTTGTTTACACAACCAACTGCAGAGACAAAGTTAGATGTTATCTTCCTCCAGAGAGGATTACCCTCACCTTGATAGGCAGTTAGGTTAAGGAATGAGTGGCTGATCACCTCAATCCAGTAACAAATTGAGCTGGTTTTGGGGATTGTTGGAAGTTTAGTTCAAAATTAGTCCACCTATGGTTACAAATGTCTCAAGGGTAAGACCTGTTATGGGTCTGTTGTAGGCCCCTTGCTCTCGTGGGGAGAAACTGTCTCCTAAACACTAAGAGACTGAGAAAAATTTCCCTCCGTATTTCTAGTTCAGGCCTAGTTGTCATGGAACCCCATCACTTAGCAAATGAGTAAAATTCATTGTACACCTGAAGCTCCTCTAGGTTTCAAAAGGTAACACCAACTCACCTGGCCATCAAAAGTTCTCCTGATTTCTCTCTCCCCTATTTGAGAGCCTCTGCAAAGCCAACCTTAATCCCAGCCTGTATTCGGACTCAGCAAACACTTTTAGGCAAGACAAGGACCAGCAATCTCAGCTCACCTAGAAAGGGCTCTTCCTTCTCCGGAATGTCATTTCATCTCAACCTTTTTGCTTCCACCATCTTTAAAAATAAGACTTTTTTATAATAGTTTTTCCCTCCCTAGTTGTTACAGCAGTGCTGGCTCGCCATTACCTGCTGCTCCTATAAAGAAGGAGAAGGCCTAGCAAGTAGCAGACTCTTTATTAAAGATCCTGTGTGGTTGCCTAGTGTTATTCAGAACATTTCTTCTGGAGACATTCTTTGTGCTTTGGACTCTCGTGGAAATTTACCAGCTTCTTGGTACCTGACACTGAAAAATGCTGATCAACAATATAACATGCTCATCTTCAAATTTCTGCAGCTGTCTTAAATGCATGCCATTCTGCAATAAGTGATTAATTTACATTTAATCTGTCAAGTTTGGCTGAATCACTAACATCTTATTAATCACTATTTGATCTAGTGCCTATGATACGTCCACATCAAATTACTCGAAGTTCCTTGAGGCCAAGGACCAAGTCTGCCCACCTCAAACTCCTAGTATAACACACGTACGTGGCAGGTGCTCAACAAACATTTGCTGACTGCCAGAAAAATTAAAGACAGTGTTATTATTCTCATTTTACAGATGGGGCAGAGAGGTAAATAACTTGAAAAAAGTCCTATATCTAGAAAATAGTGGCATCATGATTCAAATTTGAACTGTCTGGGTCCAAAGTCTATCTTCTTAACCACCATGCTCTTTAACGAACCGAACATTAAACTTTTCATTTAGTCATCACTGGGATTTAATGATTCACTTACACATATTTTGTACCAGTTTCCAGGACAAACTCCAGCCTATTGCTTTCTTTCATTTGTCCTATCCATAAATCTACTATATTACATCTTGTTCTGATAAGGCCCTCTGCCAATTGCCTTTTATTCTCACCATAAAATGGAAATTATTCATCAATGTCCAATATAATACTTTGCTCACAACTCAGAAAATGTGTTGTGAATTACATTAAATAATTTATTACCATGTCTTCTGATTTAGTAGCTTTGTGAACACATTTTATTTACAGTTTCAAATAACAAATTAAAAAAATATCTATGTATGCATTAATGAATGCATGTGTTTACATGAAATAATGCAACCTTTGTTAAATTGTCTGGTTCAGGCCCAGTTGTCATGCAGACTACTTATATCCTTAAAATTTTAATTTTTTAAAAACAATTCAACATATAGGTAATATAAACTTATGTCCTGTAACTAAGAGATGATTAACTATCTCTTAATTTTGACTCTCACATTTAAAGTATAAAAATCTTACATTTTAAAAACACATGTCCAGGAATGTCAAGACTTTTTTTCTCCAAATACTATTTTTCTAATCTAGCATTTTGCATGATACTGACTTTTAAAAAGTTTTTCTTCTGCCAGAATAACAGTAGTAGTCATCATAGTAATAATATGATAATAACATTAACAGCAAACACCTAGAAAGTGCTTGATAAAAAAAAATCTATGTATGCATTAATGAATGCATGTGTTTATATTAAATAATGCAACCTTTGCCCAGAGGTATGGTGTAATAATTTCACTATTCAAGGCTTTGAACTGCAGTCTGTTTACACTGTTCTATACTATATGGTGCACACCCTTTATATTATCTGTGTAACATCTTCTATAGCTATCTTCTTCTTTTGGGATCTGTGTAGCTATTGTAGACACAGCTGGCATTCTGACTCATATAACTAACACAAACAAAAGACTGACTAAAAAACCACACCTGTACCATTAATTACGGGACTAATAGATTAAATGGAAGGAGTCACTAAGGTGGTTCATTGATAACACAGCATGGGAAAAAGCAGCATCTTTTAAAATCGTTACCTTCTCCAAGTTAGTTAGGTAAAGAAGCTGCCCGAGCTTCTTCTGAAGCTGTGATGTGGCAACCGCTTTATCGTTGAGTAGCTTTATGCGATTTTGTTCTACCTAAAAAACAAAACAAAACAACTTCTTTACTCTCTCTCAGAAAGATGGCAAAACTATACTAAACATGCATAATTCTTCCTCGATAACATAAATGTGTCCTATTTTAAGAAAACCCATTTACATGTGAAAACTTAAATATGCAAAATGGATATTGGATAATATATTTTAAAAGGAAATATATATTTTTTTGCTTTACAGAAGGTAAAATTCAATGTAGAATTCTTTTAAACAGGAAGCTTCTCTATACACTTGAAGTCAAATAAAAATCCACCCACATTCTCTTCGGTTACCATTTTTCAGTAATACGTCCATGGGCTACAGAAACACAAAACGCTACGCTACCTTGGTGAGAGCGATTTTAAGAAATCCAGGAAAGACTCTCCCTGCCCCCCTCCTCTCCACAGCCCCCTCCTCTCCACAGCCCCCTCCTCTCCACAGCCCCCCTCAGTAGAAAACAGTAGACAGAAAGGAGTATAAAAATAAGAGGAATTTGTTTCCACAGAAAAAACTTATTGAGAATTCTATTTTAAAAGTTAAGTGAAAATAGTATATAACAAATATTTCTAAGTTCTTCTAAGTTACTCTCCAAGCTTTATAGGAAGAAAAACATTTAAAAGATTAGACATGCACAGGAATAAAAATAAATTATAAAAGAAATAATGTTTTTAATATGAAGGAGAAAAGGTTGGTAGAGGTATTTTTTAATCCTGAGATACAAAAAGGGATTTATTAGAAGATAAGCTGTCAATATCGGCTCATCATTAGCAAAGGAAAATACTGGGAAAAACGTTTTCGGTTGTTCTTAGGGAAGGTTTTTCTGGTTCTGAAAAAGCTCAGGTAATAGGATAAATGTCTAAAAGCTAACCAAGAGTATCTTTAGGTTTTGGGACACTGAAGGTGCTCAAAAATAGATGAATATGCAACCTGGAGAGAAACAAATGCAGCACAACAGCAAATGCTAAGCATGTGTTAGATGTAAAATGGTTCATCTTTGACCATTTTTGACCTAAAAAAACAAACAACTTCATATGGTTCAAACTACGAATAGAGACTAAACACACACTTATAGAAGAGATCACTGCCCTGCCTCTCTCTCTTCTGTGGATCTTGGATTTTTGTGACATCTACTTGCTGTGCTCTTTTCTGAGACCTACTTGCAAATTAATTACCTCGTGTGGTTCAATGATGTGAAGAACGGGTGGAGTGGGCTTTGGCTCCCTCGGATCACGCACTCGAAATCGTTCTGTAGCCATTGCAAGTTCATCAACAGCAGAGACACGATTCCGCAGAGCCATCCAATACTCATGAAGCAACTGGAGGAAGAGGAAAGACAAAGACAGTGGGGAACACACAACTAAACTGCCTAACGCCGCCAAGACGTAGCTGGGTCAAGTCTTCAGCGCGTATGTCGAACATATGACATACACGTTTCCTTCATTAAGTACCTGAGGTACCAGCAATTCTCCGGCCGTTTTTAGCACGAGGAAGCACGACTGAATCGTCTCCACAGGACACTGCAGAGGACTGCCTCTTCAGGTCCTTAGGAACCGAATACCCAAAGACTTCTTGGTAGGCTAAAGATCTTTATTTATTAATACTAGGCTGGTGGAGTCTCTGCTTTATCTTTTAAAGAAGTATTTTTTATTATAAAATATTTCACATATTCAAAATAATATGTATATATGATAATGAGATACTAAAATACATAACTGAGTCCCCATCATCCAATTTAAGAAAGAGAACGATACCAATTCCTTACAAGGCCTTTGTGTTCTTTCTCAACTGTATCACTTTCCTTCCTCACACATTCTTCTCTCAACCCCCAATAATGGGGTAACCACTATTCAGAACTGGATTTATTATTCCGTACTTCTCATTGGAGTTATACTAATATACATATCCTTAATAATATGGTTATATATATTTCTGAAATTTATAGAAATGGTATTATCAGTATAAAATTTTTGATAAGCTTTCTTCACTAACATTATGCTTTGAGGTAGATCCTGAATATTGTGTGTGGCAGTAACATTCATTTGCATTGCTGTGAAGGGGTTAGCCTGCAATGTTACGGAGAACAAAAGCACAAAGATCTGGGAGAACTGCATGATGAGGCCTCCTCTGACAGAGCATGTGGCCAAACTGAGCCCAAAGAAAGAACACAGGGGCAGGCGGACACTGTATATAGTGCTGTCTTCTTCCACGGCTTGCTGTAACTAACTGTGTTAATGTGCTTTTGCATTTAGAATAGTAATGTGAAAAGAAGAAAATTATTATGAACCAATGATTTTGAATCTACAAAAGTATCATTTCCCAATTTATCAAATGTATGAACTGATGTTATAGACAGCATATCCTCTCTTTCTGGATTGAAATTTTTACCCTGCTTTAAAAGGCAAGAACTTTAGATTTAAAAAAAAGATATCAAATGGAACTTTAACATTATAAATAAAACGCTTCCTTCATTCCCTCACTCATCTCACTTGCAAAGTAGGATAATAGATTAACAAATCTAAATCTAAATAATTCAAAATTAAGGAATTCTGGAATCTCATCTGAAGTGCAGAGTTATATGATGAAATTATCAAAGTATAAGTATGAAGGGTCACTGTGCATTATTGATTGCCATGGTTTCCAGTCCTGTATGTTGAGCAATATTTACTGTGTTCTCCAGTCTTCAAGGTTGTTGATGTTTGGTTGTGATTCACAGAGCAAAAGCAAAACAAAAGAAAACCTGAAACAAAACCCTACTCTAATTTCAGAAAATAACAGTGTAAGATCAAGCTAAGAATAGAATGACACATTTTCACAGCTAACTACAAGGTTTCAAATAAATTTCATTTTAATAATTTTCTTCTAGCAAGTTAATAAATAGAAGTCCCTTATTTGTTCAGTATTTATTGTTCATCATTACCATCATTACATTTCAGGGAAAGAGAAATTATGACATCTTAAGTCTCTCAAGCAGATTTTTAAAAAAAGGAAAGCAGCAATTAAAATTAATGTAAAGGAGAAATTAATATTGGAAGTTTTAAAATACTGTACCTTATACTCCTTCTTCCAAGCTTCAAAGAGATCCATTGAAGCACTTCCTTCATCAATGAACTCAACATCAAATCTATGTGACTTTGCAAACGACAGCAGCGCTTTCATAGATCGCTCTGTCTCACTTACTGCCCACAGACCCCGGTTGGTGGTAGGTATTCGATCATCCACCAGTCCTTCTTCATCTTCTATCATCTCCTCAAATATTGCAGTCTGGCCTTTGACTCTGAAGACACACAAGAACAAAACAACAGAACTACTGTCAGTGGGTAACAAGCAGTGTAAAAGTCATCCTGGCAGAGCCCACAGGGAAGCAAGGTCAATGACGAAAATCTCATCAACAACTTTCAATGTCATGTCTCCAAGATCACGTCTGAAAGTCTTTGGAAAAACCAGAGCAACTCTGAAAATGCCTGAGGCATCATCAATTTGATCAGTGTTTCTTGAGAGCAATCTGGTATAATAAAAAATAGCTACAAATTGCAGGCTAAAATCTCACTCTGAGAATTAAAATAATACAAAACAAACACCACCACCATCAACCACACAAAAACAAAACAAAAAAAACCACAAGATGATCTTAAAGCACGATGTCAATCTCTTTTTTCTTGAGGCAATCAGAACTTAGCCCTTTGTCAATTCTCATGTTTGTAAAGTAGGGATAATCTTGCTAATGCCACTGCTATATGCAGTCACTAAGTAGCTTAATCCCGAACACAAGGATGAAGATTTTAAATTTGTGTTGGAGAAAGTGCATTAATAATGAGAGCTAACATTTTATAGGACACTTACCATGTATAAACACTATGCTAAGCAATTATGCGCATTTCCTCATTTAATATTCATAAAAAACTCAATGAGGTAAGTGTTATTATCTTCATTTCACGAATGAGGATTCTGAGGCTCAGAGAAGTAAACTGCCCACAATAGTGGGCAGAGATTTGAGTTCAGATGTGTTGGACTTGAGCGTCTGTTACTCCTCTCTCTACCTGTCTCTCAATCACATATGACTACATGACACGAGCAGTGGGGGGGTACACTTCCGCATGGGTGAAACTGAGCATGTTAAATGATCAAATGCCCAAGTTTACGGAATTGATGTAGTAAGAGAAAAAATATGAGAAAGGTTACTGTGAGGAAAATATAGTCTTATAAATTAAAACCCCAAGTCTTGTAATACTTTTCATTTTCTTGACAGGAAATAATCAAAGAACTTACGTGTGAGAAAATAGCTTCGACTCATACTCTGTGAACAGTTCATCAGCCTTACAAAAGACACAGCTGGAAAAGAAGAAATTATCAGAGAAATACTACAAACATAACCATAATCAGCTTATTCCTAAGAGAGGCCTAGTACTTTATACTTCACTTTTTCTTTACAACAAATATGCCCTTTTAGAAAAAAAATTACATGGTTTTCACTATGTGGTCTTTGAGTTTCTTTCTTTTTTTAAAGTTAGATTAATAATACGTCTCTCCTTCTGTCTGAATTCAGATGACAAAGTTCTATTACATGAGCCACCGTCTCCTCCGTCAGAAGAGACCCAGCACAGTGCAGTGATGCTGGTTCACTGCGTTTCCCCCACTACCCACCAGTTGAGAGGAAGTCTGGCTGGCCGGAGGTGGCAGACTGTTGCAGACTCGATAACATTCCGGGACGGGGGTCCCTCCAGCTTTTGCACAGACTCTCTGACGAGCTTCTGGAATTTACTCAGCTCTTCCATGTGTGTTGTAAGTAAGAACTGAAGACCTCTGCAGTCGTGGAACCTGATCCCCACCACCAGCACCACGCACGACACAAAGAAAAGAACCGTAGGTCAACTTCCTCAAATTCAGAAGATGGTTGCCAAACAAACCGCTCAAGAAACTGCCACACTTCACCCATTCCCACCTGAGTGAGTTGACCTCAGGAGTGTGCTCAATTGGTTTCTACCAGCAGACAAGGAATAGTCAACACTGGGTTGTCTACTGTAAAAGATAAAGGAAAGTCTGATAGTTCTGTCCCCGGGAACTGAGAAACAGTACACGAAATCTGTCTCTGTCTCAGATGTCTTTGAAAGACCAGGACGGCCACATGCTTTCTTTTTAACGCTGACTGACTACAGATGTCCCTCCTGACAGCCTCGTTCTATGTGGAGAAGTGACGGCAGGATGAAAAACAAAGAAAATTGGCAAGAAAGAAGAAAAATAGCCAAGAGTTATATTCCTTGTTACAAGGAGATTTTATATATATATAAAGAATTTACTCTCCAGGAATTTTGTCAAGCACTTCTATATAATCTCAATAGATACTATTGTGCTCACGTTATGGATAAAGCTTAATGAATTAAAGTAATTTAAAGTTACAAAGTTATTTTGTGGCAAAGTTAGGAATTAAACTCAAACGCAACGCTCTTAATCATTTTTGATAAACTACGACTCAAATGAGCTAAGGGAAAAATGTATGGATGTGTGTGTTATGGGTTTATGAGAGGATAAAGTCTAGAATAATAAGAAATTAGAAAATGGAAAATACAGACAGGATTTGTTTGCTTTCTAAGTTAAGAGTATATCCCTCTCCTTCCTAAAATGCACTATGCCCTTCTCTCCAAATTGTTCAAAAGAGCCCACCCTCCCTTCCTGAAGGCTTCCCTAACATATCACAACTCTTATCTATGTTTCTTTCTGTACATGGAGTTTATTAAAAATATCATTCGAGTACTTAATGTTCAGTTTTTGTACATACTCATATTTCTCAAATTACTCATGGGTCTTATCTTCTCAATAAGCTAATTTTTAGAAAGCAAGAATTAGATCACATCCTTTTTTTAAAACCTATGTAATAGACACAGAATAGCTGCTCAATAATTTCTAAAAGAATCTACATAGATACTTGAACAAAATCAGGTTAGGTATCAATATTATTCAAAAAAAGAAAAAGTTTTTTATTCCTAACTTATTTAGAAATTTAAACTTCTCTTCAAAAATTAACATTTGAACCAAAGGGAAGAAGTGATGGCTTTGGAAAAATGCTCTCCACTAACTCATGTCTGAGTTACGTGACTAGAGGCTGAAAAATATTGTCATAGTTCAGTATTTAACGAGTCTTAGCAACAGTCTCTCTTGCAGCTCCTATAAACAAAACAGAAGAAAACATAGTAATGGAAGGTAACTCTTCAACACCAAACTAAATTGGTAGGCTCTACTTTAAGTAAGCACTTTACAAACATTAATTCAGTAATCCGCACAACAATGCCGTGTGGTTTTACAGATGAAGAAACTAAGGCAAAGAGAGCTTCTGTGATTTTCCCAGGGTCACAGAGCGGGTAAGTGGTAGAGGTGCAATATGAGCACAGGCAGTCTGCCTGGAGGGTCCACCCACGCTCTTAACCACGAAGCTACACAGCCTTCCCAAGAATCATTAACCAGCACATAGGAGTAATTTGGCTTTTGAGTTATCAATCTCATTAAAAAATGTAGCAGCAGTGTGTCAAAATGATCTCTGAATATATAGGTAATATAAAAAAATATTAACTTTCTGGTAAGTTATACATTTTAAAATGTGTTTCGTTACTTTCTATTTATTTCTAATGTTTTTTAAAAGAACGTTTCTATAATGAACGTATGTTTTATGTTTCCTATTGGTCCCTTTAAAAGCCCTGGGACCTCAAAACATTTAATAGGGGATATGTTCTAATATGGGGATGCACAACTTTTAAGTAGTTTCTGTGTGATTTTAGAAAAACAAGTTTAAGATTTTTAAATATTTTCTTATCAGCTGATTCCACAAAATGGCAGAACACATTAGGATACAGCTTTTAAAACTGGATAAAATGAATCACGACTTAAATGACAACTTATCCCAGAACAGTGATTCTTGGGCTTAATAGGGAAAAGGGAAGTGCATTCAAGAGCATAATATACTGCATATATCTCAGAGAGGAGAAGCTCATCAGGTTTCGTATGGTGAAAAAGATGATGATTGTAATAAAGTACACACAAGCTAGTAACAACACATGGAAATTTAGCATCTCTCTCTAGTGTTTTAGCAGACATTTGGAAAAGCTTTTAGAAGGGTAAATGAAATCACTCTACAACATTTCCAAAATATTCTTATGCTGAATTTTCACTGAAAACTAACATCAATCCCAAGGCTGACCTTACACTGAGATGTAATCTGAGAAGCAATAAAAGATCCTCTTTCTATTCCCCAGCTAGAATCAACAGTCCTGCCACAACACCTAAATTCCCCACATTAGACAGACATTCCTTTGGATTAAATCACTGAAGGCACTTTTGATAATGAGTAAACTTGTTCTTTGGGAAGGATTATTCATCATTTATACATCAAGAGTAATAATCCAACTTACCCATGAAGACCCTGAAGAATGGTTAGTGTTGAAGAGAAGACAGATGAGGAAGAGAGAGCAGGTAACTACAATATAACACCTGGGCTGCCGTTGCACTATGAGGCTTAGTTCTTAGGGAATATCACACAGGGAAGTATGAATGCCTTACTCTAAGCACGGAATTCTCCAAAACAAAGTCTATATCAAAACTCTGCTTGGGGGCCGGCCCCGTGGCTTTGTGGTTAAGTGCGAGCGCTCCACTACTGGTGGCCCGGGTTCGGATCCTGGGCGCGCACCGACGCACCGCTTGTCCAGCCATGTTGAGGCGGCGTCCCACATACAGCAACTAGAGGGGATGTGCAACTATGACATACAACTATTTACTGGGACTTTGGGGAAAAAAAGGAGGAGGACTGGCAATAGATCTTAGCTCAGAGCCGGTCTTCCTCAGGAAAAAGAGGAGGATTGGCACAGATGGTACCTCAGGGCTGATCTTCCTCACACACAAAAAAAACAACAACAAAAACTCCTGCTTAAAGTTGGCTTTAAGCAACTTTGTCCAACAAAGGTACCAAGAAAATACTTTAACCAGATTAACAAAACAACAACACTAATTGTACCTCTTAATACCAAATGATCTACATATTTGGGGTGACTACTCATATAGTTATTCTATTTTGTAGAATTTCCTTACTTCTCTGACATAGAAAGCTTGCCAGTTTGTTGCTTGTAGTTGCTGGTTATTTCATTTCGCACCCGTTGAACAAGCTCCTCATCAATAGCAAATTCTATTGCTCTGTGGATCACATTCAGCCACCAAGGAGAATTAGAATATATCTGTAAAAAAAGACAACAGCTGATGAATTAATTTTTTTTAGTACTCACTATGTTTCTATCACTGGGAAAGATGCTGTGAAAAATTCAAAGGAAGTAATAAATGCAACACTCAAGAGAGTTATAACAGTGGGGAGACAAGTATACATACTCTATATACACGGGTGAGTAACTTTTGCATAGATAATTAGAGAACATCTGTTTCCTGACTACTCTAGATGAATCTGAATTTATTGTATATACTTGTATAATAAAGCTGTGCTATATAAATACCAAAATGAAAATTCAGTACTCACTCTACATATTTGAAAAGATAACAGGTTTCTTTCTCAGCATAAAAGACAGACATCATATTCATCTTCAACTAACTGAACCAGATTCTACTCAATGAATAATCTATGATAACTAACAAAATTATATGCCTGAATACCAAACAATCAATGGATGAGGAAGAACAAAACGTGAAGTAACTTGCTAAAATCAAAAAGTAAAAGACAGTGTATCGTGTAGCCTTCTCTTCAGCCTTCACTACTGATTTCATAAAAGAGCAATTTTAGCAATGACAAACGGCACATATTCCGTAAGAAAAATACCTATGGTTCTAACGTTCTGACGTCTTAAAAGCAAAGATTCTGGAAACATATACATCTCAGACCTAAAGGAGGTTATGGAAGTCTTTATTTTCTTCAAAGGACAACTTGTTATACACCCAAGGGAAGAGGAAATCCATTATAGCTTAAAAGAAGTGAAAGAGAATAACCTCAAAATAGGTGATTATCTATGCATCTCTTCGTTCAGTCAATAAACACTGCTAGTGGCAAATGAACTTGCACTGGGGGCCAGGCACTGCCCTGGGGGCTAAGCGTTCCAAGACGAATCAGAAAGTTCGAGTTGCTCCCCAAGCCACAGCGTTACGTGGAGACGAGCACAGGTAAGAAAGGCATTTCAGGGACAGACCTTTCTCTGGAGCTCACGCACGGCCTGCTGTACGGGCAGCAGAGCCTGCTGCGCTTCGGCGACTTCCGCGTTACACTTGCTCATGTAATGCTCCCGCAGCTGCTGGGCCTGTGCCGGAACAGGGAACAAGCATAAGCCTCCACTCAGGTCCAGAAAATAGCGTAGCGTGATGTTTCAGGAATGTGATTATTTTATATAGTTAAAGCAACTTAATTGAAGCAGAAAACTCTACAGGTACACTGTAGGGAATATAAAAGCCATGCTAGAAATTCCTAAGACATATACTGAAGAGAATACATTCACCTGTAAGTCACAAAATTTAAGAAATCCCAAGGCTCTGCTCTCCAAATTTGAGGTACATGCACGTGCCGCATAACGTTTTGGTAAAGGATGGACTGCATATACAACGGTAATAATAAAATTATTACCACATAGCTTAGGTGTACAGTTGGCTACACTATATAGGTTTGTGTAAGTACACTCCATGATGTTCCTACAAAGACAAAATCGCCTAAGGACGCATTTCTCAGAACATATCTCTGTCATTAATCGACACATGACTGTAATTAAAGGAGTAAATGTAGTTAAATGAAATCATAAGGGTGGAGCCCTAATCCAATATGACTGGTGCCCTTAAAAGAAGAGAGAGAGACCCCAGGGATGCAAGGCACAGAGAAAAGGCCATGTGAAGACACAGAGAGAAGGCCCCCATCTACAAGCCAAGAAGAGAGGCCTCAGGAGAAACCAAACCTGCCCACGCCTTGATCTTGGACCTCTACCCTCCTGAACTGCGAGAAACAAATTTCTGCTGTTTAAGCCCCCCAGCCTGTGGCAGTTTGTTAAGGCAGCCTTAGTAGATAAATACGACAAGGATTTAAACATTCTTCCCCTTCCAACTTTTCAAGACAAGAAGGATCATATTTGCAAGCAACAGAAATACTGAAAAACTTTATTCTTATACATTCCCATTAGGAAACTTATATGAAAATTCTTCACTTCCTTCTGTTTAACTGAAACACTTAACTGGCTCGTGAAACTATTTCATAAATGAAGAGAGGGGATCAGAGACCACATGGGTTAGTGGAAGAAAAACTGGAAAGACTACTGAACTGGAAATCCTAATGCTTCCACTTAGTAGTGGGTTGAGACACATGAACTTGCCAATACTGGACCACTTTTGACTTACAAAAACGCCTATGTCATGAGGTCAACTGAACAGACACATCTCTCTGGACTAGCCACTTCACTTCCCTGGGCTTCCACTACTTCACTCGCAAAAGCAGGTGCTGAAGCAGACGATCTCTCGGATCTTATCCAGCTTTGAGATACGTGGCTTCATATTCTACCAGAGCTGGGCAAAGTGATAATGTGGCCTCCTCAGAAATACATCTATGTGGTATAAAATCTCTTCCTTATGACGCATTTTTCCTTTTCCTGTCACAATTTTCCAATTAATTTCTATTAAAATTCCTTGGCTATAACTACGTGGTCATTAGAGCTGTTTACTAATAGATTGAACTATCTCCCAGAGAGCTTCCTATCACTGAAGGTATTTAAACAAAGAGTGACTAATTATACAAGGATTAGATGCCTGCACTGGGAATAAAATTTCACTCAAAAATTTCCAACACTCAGACTGCCATCTAATATCAAGAAAGGGCTGTACATACTTAGACAATCTCATTTTTTATCTTGTTGATTCAAATAAAGGCTACACTTATAGGTCCAATACATGTCAAATACATCTACTACTCTTTTGATTTTAACTTTGCTATCTCTCTTTGATCTTTAAAAAGGCAAAAATCCATGGGGGAATTAGCATAATAAACTTATTAACAATTTATAATGAAATAATTTATAATATCACTCTTTCCAATGAGAGGCAATACTCACTGTAGAGGGAACTTCTTTGAGAGGACATAAGAAATACCATTGAAAATTTGAGTTTATTTACTGCCTTAAATAATACACACAGAGGTAGAGAAAGTACAAAACCTTTTATTTTTACTAAACTACATCTTTCGCAGATCTGCCATGAGATCAACAAGGTCTCCTTTCTTCATTTGTTGTTTATTTACATCCTGTGCTACCAACAGCCATATCTACAACAAGCAGTTACCATATAACGGCAAGCAGGTCACCAGAGAAGCAAAATAATATGAAATGTTGCCATTCTCCGCCACCCAAAATCACCACAGCGAAGTCGGAACATGAATGCAGGAGGAAAACATGGTTACCTTTACTTAAATGTTGCATGCCCTAGCAAATATCAATTAGATGGAGCAAGAAGTCTGACAAAAATATTCTGTTACAGACATAACGTAAAAATAATAAATAATTACCTCTTCCTCAAGCCTGCCATCTCGCAAGGTAGGAGGTATCCCTGGATGCTTGGCGACCAACAATTCCATCAAGTTATGGGTAGCATGAAGTCTCTACAAACACACAAAAGGCAATAATTATGACAGCCAATGGAGCAGACATTAAAGGGAGAATCTACTAGTAATACGGCATACACAGCACTAACACTACATTTAAGATCAGATCACCGAATACTTTTCCTCTAAAACAGTTTTAGTACCAACTTTCTCAGAAAAAAACAGTCAGTTTTAGAGTAAAGGTCTGAATTCATGACATAAATTGTATTCAATTAAAAATATACAGTCTTATGAAATTGTCTATTTAGCAAAATATACAATAAAGGAATATTTCTTCCATTATACACGCATTTGTCTAGATGGAGAACTATAAGTACACCAAGTAAGTCCAGTAAAGTAGAAACGCTGACCGCACAAACTTGATTCCTCTTCGCCTAGGAAATGAGTCTGGATGAGCCTACCAGCTACATTAGGATAAAAATAAGGATAAGGAAATACATAAGAAATCAGGGGTGACCCGGATCTGCTGAACTTAAGAGCTGAAAAGGGGAGGAGCTGGAGGTGAAGACGGTGCAGCAAGAAGGAAAAAACTCCATCTTATATCTCTGATTCAATCTAAGTCAAGCTTCTCACCGTGATACTGAGTCTGCAGCTGGTTAGAGGCTCCCTGTGGAGTCAAGGGCTATGAGAAGAAATAAAGTGTAAGTAGTTTCTATCTAACTTGAGTCTTTACTTGGGAAGATAGTTAAGGGCTAAAGGATGATGAGAAAAGAGTCCTTCTGGTAAGATCTGATTTGCTGCCAGTGATTTGAGACCACAAAGGTTTACTATGTTGGGCTACAAGTTATAGGCCACTGCCCAGATCTTTGTAGAGTTAATCTTTGAAGAGTTATCTCAAACATCTTAGGTCTTTCCAACACGGTTTCATAGACAACATAATCAGTAACACTACCCGATTTAATAGCAACAAAAGTATCAATAGCACTAGAGAAACAAAGCCGTAGAAACTCGCCTCCACTTCTCGACATGCACTTACGGAAGAGGACTTCTGTGGCCTTCGGTACAAAGTGGAGGAAGGGACTGGAGGAATACTTGCCTCTCTCCACCCCCTTACGTGTGTTATCCCAAGGGAACAGAGTGGCTAATCAGACTGGACAGAGCAGACATTCAGGCTTTGCTTTCCCAGTAGGTGGGGTTACTGTGCCTCAAATGCAAGAGCCAGGCTGACTGCTGACTCTTCACTCGTGAACTCAGGCGTAGCAGACATATCTGTTTCCTTGCCAACACTTCTCCTTTTGTTTGCTTTATTCAGGGGCACAATATCTTTGCACTTCCTCCTCCTTTCACGAGGTAAACACATTTGCTTAAGGTCCAGGGCCCGCCCTCTGTAATCCTTATCCATGCACAATATTAGCAGACTTGTATTTAGTTCTCTCTCTCCTCGCTTCCCCAGACAAATGAGGCAAATGTGAACATGGAGGTCCCAAGGTCTAGATTCTGAATGGTAAAGAAGCCTCACCTGGGACTCAAGCCTAAACCCACCAAGGTTAAGAAAAGTGGTCCTTATTTACCGTTTAGCGAGAGAGCCTTATCTAAAGGATCCACTGGACAGAACCAAGGAGAAGAGATTTCACGTTTAAGTATTACAATTCAAATATCCAAATCTCCCTAAAAGATCTCCAAAAATTAAATAGAAGATCACTGGATAGGTTTTATTATTGTTCCATTGCTGAGTTTAGCTCATTTTCTTTTTTTTTTGGTGAATACCATTGAACAAATATGTTAATGTTAACATGCAAAAGTGATAAAACTGACCCCATTCTTTGAAGTACAAATACCTGGGCTGTTTACCTAGTGTAGGTTAGACATATGGAGTCAGCCTTGTGATTAATACTGGCCTGAGCAGGTGGAATAGTAGTGATCTCAAACTTTCGTGTATATACAAATCACCTTGGGTGCTTATTAAAAGAAGTGAATCCTAAGCTTCATCCCCAGAGATTATGATTCAGTCCATTTGTTACCGATCATCCTCTTAAATATTCGGAAATATTATTTTGTAAAAAACAAATAGAATCTATGCTCGAAACTGCTTAGTTTTGACTTACTTGCAGTGAATCGGTTTTGAGTTTCGCCTTGTGTTCCTCAGATGAACGTAACACTTCTCTGTACAGTTCTGCTGCCAAGGCATACTCACCTGAAGAATTAACATGTATTTAAAGCATGAGAGTCATGTATTGGTCTCCCAATGTCATCTACTTATCTATTATCTTAAAACATCTACTGTAAAGGTGTGACAATGATTACAACTCACTATTTTTTTTTTTAAGAAAAGGAATTTAACTCAGTATTAATATGACTGCCCTAGTAAAAAAGCTGATGATAGCTGCTTTTTTTTCCTAAATCCACAGAACAGAACACCAATCAAATAAATTTATAATGTTTTAAAAGTATAATGAGGCCAGCCTTGGTGGCCTAGTGGTTAAGTTCAGTATGCTCTGCTTTGGGAGCCTGGGCTTGGTTCCCGGGTGTAGACCTACACCACTCCTCTGTCAGTGGCCATGCTGTGGCAGTGACTCACACACAAAAAGAGGAAGATTGGCAACAGACGTTAGCTCAGGGTGAATCTTCCTCAGTAAAAAGAGTAAGATTGGCAATAGATGTTAGCTCAGGGTGAATCTTCCTCAACAAAAAACAAAAAAAGAAAAAAATTGTACTGAAAAAGAAAACTCTGGATTAACTTTTAATTTAGACAAACGATTTTCCTCTGAAGTTAAAGGGGGCCAATTAGCAGTTATTATGATGTTTGACATTCAGGACAACTTTGGAGTAATTATAGATATTTATAAACAAATATGCAAAACACTATGACCAACGTACACATAATTCTCAGAAAAATAATATACTCTTCTTGATAGGTATTATTCTTCTCCGTATTAGGCCAACATGATTTATAATGAAAAACTGCATTTCAAAAATGTAGGGATTCTTCTTTCTATTTCTGGTCACAAAAATCACAATTAGTCTGAGATTTATGCTGTTTTTTATTGTTCATAATTAGCAGCTCATTTAAATAAAATAATTCAAAAAGTATCAGTTAAAGCACAGGTTGGCAAACTATGGCCCATGGGTCATAGCTGACTCTCTGCATTTTTGTAGGGTCCAGGAGCTAAGAATAGTTTTCAGATTTTTAATAGGTGAAAAACATTCAGAATAATAATAATATTTTCTGACATGTGAAAATTATACAAAATCAAATTTCAGGGCCCAGGAATAAAGCTTTATCGAAACTCAGCCATGCTCGTTGGTTTATGTACTGTCTGTGGCTGCTTCTGCATTACAACAAGAGCTGAGTAGTTGCGACAGACCTTATGGCTCTCAAAGCCTAACGTATTCATTATCTCGTTCTTTTGGAAAAAGAATGATGACACTTCAATGAAAGGAGAGGTGAACATTTTTAATGGCTTGAATAACGGAACCTATCTTATTTGCTACCTGGGGAAAAACTCAAAACTGGTAATTTATAAATACAATTAACATAAAAATCTAACAGTGGCAAAATCATGAAATACAAAAAAAATGGTATAGAGATGTTCTAGTTTCAGTTTGCTAAGAAAGCTTTTCTCCTGATCATCACATACACTTTTTTTTAACTTCAAACTAGTTTTATTAATATCGTGGATTTAGAACTCTGTTCATAGCCATAATGAGTTTTCTATATATACACTTTTGTAAATTTTGTTGTTGGTTCTCTCTCTCTCTTTTTGTTAAAGGCAATTACACATATTTTATTGTGGTAACATATACATAACACAAAATTTACCATTTTAACCATTTTTAAGTGTGTAGTTCAGTAGCATTAAGTACATTAACACTGTTGTGCAAAACACTTACTTTTATACCATTGCTTTATATATAGTTTCTAAAGCACACATTTTCACATACTTTTATAGTCAGCCAATTTCTATTCACATTGATAAGGGAGAAGATTATTTTCATAATAATAAAGTTATATTATAATGTAGGAATAACATTCAATCATCTTCACACACTGAGCTCTCTTTTATTAGTTTTGAAGATTCTTGTAAAGCTTTTCAAAAGACATATGGATTCTATTATTTATTTCTAGTATTTATACTATCACTTATTGAGAATAATTCATTTAACAATTCTCCCTTCATAATCACTTTACCTTTTAAAGGTGGTACAATGACTAGACTATAATATAAGCAGGTGAATCTGAACTATGCACTATAAAGCTTTTCTTTTTTTTTTTAAAAGACATGCTTTCTGGGGAAGACACAAAAATATGCATATTCAATAAGTTATACAAGTTTAAGCCAAATTTGGAAATACCCATTCTTTGCCACTTGAGGGCACTAACATTTCCAAGTAAATAAATCACACTGGACTTGATATCGCCAAGCTAATCTTCTCCAAAAAATATGTACAAAACACATGGTACAAAATTGGCATAATATCATGTTTTTAATACCATAATCCATGAGGACTTCAGAGTATGCACTGTATAACATAATATACATTTGCATATAATATAAGCAAGTCCTTCTAGAGTCTGAAATTAATTTTAGATTTATTTTAGAAGTTAGATCTTCACTGTCTGATCTCGACATTGGAACAGTTTGAACTATGTAAGTTAAATATGTAATGTTACTTTTTTTTTCGCTGAGGAAGATTCGACCTGAGCTAACAACCGTGCCAATCTTCCTCTATTTTTTAGGATGTGGGCCATAAATCCATCACAGTTAAGTTTATAATTACAATTAAACTAAGAACAGACATATCCAAATTAGGACTTTCTGACAGGAATTTCTTTTAACAAATAGCAGTAGTTTCCAAGCACAGAAAGACAAAGAACTACGTGGGAATGCAGCGGATACTATCTGAAAAGAGCAGTGATGTATATGCCATAGCATGGTATTTTGCCACCAGGAGCCAACTACACACTGACCCTGCTACAGTGCTACAGTGTTGGAAATGACCAGATGAATAACCTTTTCTCCCAATCCCCATATCATGCATAACTTCACAGCAGGGAAAAGGAGACAATAAATCTGAAAAGGAGAGTAGAAAAAAGGGCAAGTGAAGAAATTCATTCCCTGTCTGAGCTTCTGAGTCATAACGACATAGAATAAAATGAGGTATGCATTTTCAGAATCAAGATGGAAATCTGAAATTTATTTTTATTATTGTCACAATCTACAATATATTACTCCATTTTAGATTTTTTTTTTCTTTTTTCTCCCCAAAGCCCCAGTACATAGTTGTGTAGCATAGTTGTAGAATTGTAGCTCTTCTATGTGGGATGTTGCCTCAGCATGGCTTGATGAGCAGTGAACAGGTCTGTGCCCAGGATCCGAACCGGTGAACCCTGGGCTGCCGAAGCGGAACACACAAACTTAACTGTTACACCACTGGGCCGGCCTCATTTTAGAAATTTTTAATGGAGAGTTTCAACCTACTATAGACAGCATAACATTGATGTTTATAAATGTCTGTCTGATAAAGAAGCATAGTACAATAAAAAAATAGTTGACTTGAAATCAAAAGACCCAGGGAAAATTCTATGCCACTTATTAGCTATAATCTTGAGAAAGCAACTAAGCCTTCTGAACTCTAGTTTTCTCATGTAAAATGGGGATGATAATACTTCAATCATTGGGTAATTATAAGGATAAAACAGAATATACACACGACAGTGTGTATAGCATAATATAAAATGCTTGTAGAAAAATGATCATTTCCCAGATATGATGCTAGATTTAAATGATCTGAAAATATTTTAATTAGTATATTCATTATTCAAGTATTTTAAAGACCAAGCACACATATTTCTTATCTGTGATAGTCAAGTATTCTGTAGGTTTTAATTACAACTATTCCACTCAATTAATTTGGGACTGAGAGAAACTGATATTAGATACGACACACAACTCCCTAATTTTTGCCTAATTATTTCCAAGTCAAAATAAAGTTTAATTTTTAAAAAAATATTTTCTACTAAAAAGTTGCCTTACTTAGTCTTTCACTATGGCCTGTAAAGCACAGATCATTTTAGATTTTAGATTGATGCTTGGAATACTACATAGTCACAGGCACACTTAGCAATTGAGATGGTGATGATTAAGAATTATTAGAGAATCCAAACTTGAAAACCCTGCTGGTTAAATTGTAGATTTCCCAGGGAATGTCCTAGAGGGGAGATTTGCTCACAAAGTTGCATGTGCCATATTTGAACAATTTATCAGGAATATAATACTATGCCCTTTTCTCCTATTATTAGGTATTGATAATAAAATTTGCATTGTCAGCAGGTTGAAAAGTGGTAAGACTCTAAGGTCACTTCATATTACCATAATCAATAACATCATTCCTCATCTACGTGTTTCTATAAAGTTTTCAATGTGCATCCCCAGTTCACATTAAGAGCAATACTTCAAGGGAAGTTAAGCATGCACTATTATCTGCATTTTATTAAGAAACTGAGATTCAGAAACCATGAATAATGTACTCAAGATCACAAGGCACAACTATAGCAAGTAAGAAGCCTCATCTTTTCCAGTTCTTGTCTAGAGCGACTTCTACTCAGCTTCTGCTCTACCCAAGTATCCAGGACAATCAGAGACACTTTCTAGTTTTGGTTCTGTTATGCTGAAGAGCTAATTACTTAAGGCAGGCTACTCTGACCAAAGAGGCTTAGAACATTTCCTTTTATTCTACAAAAGCACAAATTTTTCTGGGCAACTGATTTCTTTTAGGTTTTAGGTAAATGAGAATAATGCTAAATTCTCTCCATGACTGTGTACCCAAGTGGACTAATGGATCAGTCATCTTTGTGGAGAGGATGAAGGAACTGGAATTTACCACGAAATGCCTTTTCAGCTCTAACACTATAATGATAAGCTAACTCCACCGATTTTGTGAGGAATGTAGAAATAAAGAAGCATTTGTATATCCTTAATTACCAAAGTGCAAAAACTGTACATTATTTCACCATTATGAAATACATACATGATTTCGAGGACTATATTATACTTAGTTTTGGAGAGGCTAAATTCAAATTACCTAAACCAAAGCTATTAGAGAAGGTTTTAAAAGTAGCTTTATAAAAAGGTACATTTACATCAGTAATTTCCTCATCACTACAAGAAAGCTCCGAAGAGTTTCTATAGTATA